TCTCTTTATCCACTCTCCTCGGATTGTTACGGGCTGTTAATTAGAGGGCTGTAAAGTGGTGCTAAACTCAAGCTGCTACAATAGGTTGCTACACTTGTTTAAGGAAGTTAGTTCCATAAATCGACAAATTTACACCTTTTATAGCTCAGATTCTTATGAATGACATAAAAAATACATTTTTAATTCATTACCGTTTTTTTCAGAAAAAAATTCAAAAACGCGAGAAAACGTGTCTATATTTGGCCTTAATAATTATTGGTGTGGTGGTTCAAAATATTCTTTCAATAATTAGGGGGAACAAAATGGAAAGAACTATGCTCCAAATATAAGAACGCATTTTACCTAGTTCTAACAGCCTGCTCTGAAGAATATCTACAGTTTCACACAAAAAGGGCGAAAACTCACGGTCAGTTTGATTCGTGCAAACGGGTTCTGGACCAGACCACTTGAGTGTGGCCAAGCAGTGTCGTTTTCGTGGACCCATAACAGTGAAGTTGGGAAAGCAACTGTATTCGGCCGTGGCGCCAACTCTTGTATCTCGAACAAAGACATGCCCATTCTTTGGCCTGATGGGGGTCGGACATCTCGACTCCACTATTTTGGGAAAGGTTTTAATAATATTTAAATTGAAATATATTGACTTAAAACAAAAGAGTCTTTTTTAGACTGTTAACCGCAACCACTTTGTGATAGACAGTGGCATGAAATGGCAACAGCCGCGAGGCTGGAGGCAATGTTAATATTTTTAGAATTTCATTTGTTATCTGTAAGGATGGTGACCCTTGAAGTAAGGACTAAACCAACTAAAGTTAAATTTTATGAGTGGAACTTTCAAGCACGGTCTGTCTTGGTTGGTAAAAACATAAGTAAAGAAATCAGTTGATGAAAATATCGTCATTGAATATGTCTTATGTTAAATTAAATTTCATACAAAGACTTCAAGGTTTTGATTTATCAGAAACGTTTCATCATCAAAGTTTTGATGTGAAATGCTTTTGTATGTCTCAGAAGCAACAGTTTGCAAGTAAAACATCGAATGTATAATAGCGCATTCAGTGCAAAAATCTTCAAATAAAAAAGCGATGAAGAATAAGCAGGCAATTCTATCTAAAAATCAGTGTGAATATTCAGCCTTTATCATTTCTGTTACTAAAATTTTGCAAAAACGTTGGTGTCAGCTATTCCAGTATCATTGCCTTCATTTAAACATTCTTAGATGTTTACATCGAATTAACCCAATGTAAGTGATAAACTTGGTGTCGGTGGTTTTATATGTGGGTTGTTCCCCGACACACTATGCGGCAACTATTATCAATCTGGTCTTTTGAAAGCCTGATTATCATAGTGACTTGGGAATTAAACCCTACGAAGTCACTTTGGTCTTTAGTTCTAGTTTGTACGTCAGTTGCGATGCAAGTATGCGGAAAAGGTCATTGCAAAAAAGCAGTAACAAGAACGTTAAAAACTGTTGGGACCTGGAAGACAAACCAATCCACAGAAGTGGGGATCGCAGACACACTGTTGAGGTTTTCCATAAGCAACCCAACAATCGACGTTTGCACGGCAAGTTCGTTTGGGACAGGCCGAAAAATCACTTGTCCCTCGTCCCTGCGCCTCACACACAATTTCCGATCCAAAATCACTTCTATCGGCTAAAAGAGGTAAACGGGAGCATTGCAGACCGTCTACAATTACTCGATGTAGTCGAAATGACACGGCACTAGTGGAAAGCAAACTTTGTGTGAACAAGAGCGAACACTTTGATAGGGCATGTTCAAAATTTACCCTCTGTTAACACTAATCTGGTGTTTGGGATAAGCTAATGGGCCACTTAGAAAGTAATTTCAGTATGCTTTTTTAGAGGGCCCCTTTATTTGTAATCTAATTTCAGCCTTTTGTTACTTCATCAATGGCCTAATTTAGAAGCAAATTGTCTGGGGTTTTATCTGCTATTGTTAATTTAGTTTTAATTTTAACATTACGTCGAAAACAAAGGCTTTCGACTAATTTGAGTTTATTGTTTCTATGCCTACTAAGATGATGCTGAGACTAAGGGGTGCTCGAATTTTAAGGTGTAGAAGGCAAAATAACGGTTAAGGCAAAATAACGCTTCACGATGCTTTTAAATATTGATTGAAGTAATTTTTTTGTATTAACACACACACACACACACACATATATATATATATATATATATATATATATATATATATATAT